CCCCCCCCCCTTCCCCATAAGGCGCAATTGTTCAGTTTTTGAATTCGGATGGTCTCTAGCCTATTCAGAGGATACAATAGACTCAAAAAACCATTTCAGAATCTTATAGGCGACCAACAAACCTGGATGTAAAAATTACCAATTATACGCCGAATTGGCAATTTTGACCCCCAAAATGGGGGGGTAAAACTTCGAGATAGGAAGAAACACCCACTGACACTTTTGATCAGTAGGTTAAGACCTACAACATATCAAAAGCGCAGCCGAATTAACCGGGCCCACTTTTCCCATAAGACCGGTCCGTCGTCCTTTCAGATATTTTTCATGTTTTTAAACATTAAGTCAATGTTAATATGTCTGCGATTTGACAAAATAGCAGAGATTTAGGAGAATAATTTCATGAAGCCGAGTGCAATCCACCCCAAGGAGTGCAAAACTAGTTTTTCCCAATGGAAGTGGAATTAACATCAATGTTGGCGGGGATCGTTTCGATGGAGGTAAAAGTGGGACATCAATATTATTTGTAATTAGTGTTCAAGGAAAATGGAAGTGGAATTAACATCAATGTTGGCGGGGATCGTTTCGATGGAGGTAAAAGTGGGGCATCAATATTATTTGTAATTAGTGTTCAAGGAAAAACAATTGTTAATTTTCATTTAAAATAGCTGCCAAAAACAATACTGTGAGCAACTGATTACTTTTTTCCAGATACTCCTAAAGCATCGCAGAGTACTTGTGAGGTTGCCTTACTACGAATCGTATACCAATAAAGCTAGTTTGAATTTTTCAAATGTATCGTTCTTCAATATATTATCAGCATTTAGGAGAGTTTAAGAAAACCCCTTTTGCTCGTGACTTGCGCTAGTTATCACCAAAATCCGGTTCCTAATTCAGCAGACTCTTAGATCCATGTTCAAAATCATTCACTGTTCCCTGACTTTGTGTCGGGACCCTCCGATATCAAGTTAACATCTTTCATTAGGGTTATAAGTTAGGTCACCATCATCTCACTAAAGAAGTTTAATACTTGTAGTTGATGCTCCAAGTTTTTCGAACAACGTTTACTATCCTCAGATTGACCGTAGTACCTATGATGTAATTATTATCAAACATAGTAGTATAATTGAATAATATTTGGATTCAATAAAACTAAACTTTCCACATTTTATTACTATTTTACCACTCCTTTATCAATTCGTAATATTACCATAGGTAATAGGATTTTATCACTTTCTTATTCAACAAAAGCTGATTTAGTAATTTGTAATGCCTTCATTCTTGATAACTTAGAGTGCGCATAGTTCACAGGAATTTTCCTCAGTTTTTTTTTTTTTTTTTCAACTATATTAAGTCACGAAAAACGAGCTCAAAGTTGCATATTTTGAACTCATATTTAATCGCGTGTTGCCAGATCTTCCAAGATGGCGGCGGCGGATGTCCGTCAGAGAATGGCCTCACTGTTGACCTCGCGGTTGCGGCGAATTACCTCTGCTGCGTTTGATAGTCCGAGAAACGACGACCACGCGCCGCGACGCGACGCAACGCGCGCGGACTGTCGAACGCGGCAGTGGTAACTCGCCGTGACGCACAGTGTATCGAGTCAATCAGAGAGGTCGGACATGAAATTTTTAACTGAAATTGCAAATTTTGATGTTTAAATCGTCATATTCTAAATTTTATGGAGTGCGTCGAGTCGAAAATTTCACAAGGAATCCACTGGAACCACTTTAAAAACCTTTAAATTCTGTATAAACGGAGTTATGAGCTTTTAAAGTTTCCAAATTTTGTCCGACCTCCCCCATTGACTCGATCCGTTGTGCGACGTCGAGCGTTTAAATGGGAGTTAAAAGCACACAAGTTTGAGCTGGTTTTTCGTGGCTCAATACTGTTCAAAAGAACCAGGGGGAATTCCTGTGAACTACTCTCGCTATCGAGTTTTCGAAAGTGCAAGAATTAAAAATTACTGTAGGTAACAAGCTCATTAGAGTTGTATTTGTATTTTTAGGCTTGTGACCCCCCTCCCCCCGTTTGTTTTCTTCATGTTATCATTGTCTCGGGCTGCTTCAAATTTTTATCCTTTAGCCTTTACCAGAATCTCTTAGAGACTAAGCTCTTTCTATCAACTAATGTATCAGATAAATGATCCTGTCAGGTTTTACAAATGAACGTTGTTATTCCTATTACATCGTTGTCTCCTTTTTTACAGTTGTTCTTTATGTTGAGAAAAAAATTCGAACATGTCTCTACAATCCACGTTATTCATCACGGTTGCATGCCACATGTCAGGTTTTACAAATGAACGTTGTTTTCCCTACTACATTACGTTTAATGTCTCCTTTTTTACAGTTGTTCTTCATATTGAGGAAGAAATTCGAACATGTCTCTACACTCCACGTTATTCATCACGGTTGCATGCCAATGAGTGTCTGGATGGGAATGAAATTTGCTCCAGGTACCAAAATATAATTAAGAATTAGTCTCCTATTGTAACTTAAGTTTCCTGCCACCTTTAAATACAAAGATACAACCTAACTTGTGATAAAAAAATCCAATATCTAGCTGCCTGCATTTGAGTCACAAAATGAACTCACAATCAGACTGAGAGAGAGAGCGTGATCAGCTTAAGCAGATGACTTAGAATACGAAGGGGTCACGCCGAAAGATCTCTATGTCAACCAGTCTGGCTCTTTTTAGACCTCATCAGTCGATCACACTCACATATTGAGCCCAGCTCTACATCCCGCAGAATTTTACGATATTAAATTTTTAGCCGTGGCACTTTTTAAAACTAGTTTTAATTTGGTCTCAGAATTGTTTCAAAGTTATTTTCTGGACTTGTCTGAAAGGAAATTTTACGTGCCTTAAAAAGAGTATGATACATTTCACTAAAATGAAACGTTCAAGATATATAAATGAGAAAAGAGGCCGCAGGTTTCGCGAAGTTTTTGCCGCGGCAATTTTTGAAACCCGTATTCTTGGTCTCAAAAATGTTTTTTAATCCATTTTATGTATCAGCCAATAGGAAATTTTACGCTCTTTATACAATATCCTATGACATTTTCCTCTGAAATGAACCGTTCAATAGAAAAACGATAAAAAAAGGTCACCGGGCTATTGATTTTTGGCCGCGGTCGTTTTTCAAAGCCCTTAATGTGTGTCGCGAATTTTTTCTTGACAAAATATTCGTAATAAAAAGATAGGAAATTTTACTTGCTATAAAAAAGGTCATATGATATTATCCCCTAAAATCAACCGTTGCGGAGGTATCTGTCATAAACAAATGCGTTCAGCGAAAATACGGTGCTTTGTCCTGATCGTGAGGTTCATCTAACAACGCATTAACGCTGCCGCTTGACGCAGAAGTTGAGAATTTTTCAACTTTCTGCGTCAGCGTTGCGTTGTTCAGCGGCACCGCGTTACGAGCGCGTTACATTCGGAACGGTCCCGTAGTAACAAAGAGGTTCAACATCGCCGCGTTGCCGCTAACGCAAACCCTTGCGTTCATTGGAAATCAGGCTTAAGAGGCAGCTGTATTTTTGACGCCACCACTCCGGCGCGCTTGCAACTTTGCTTAAACATAGTTCTGACCTCCCTCGTAACGAATTGGGCAATATAAGACCTCAAAAGTGGTGCCTCTGGCCGCTGCGCCCCGCGAATAACGGAAAAAAGTGTGTTTGAAAACGCACGGAAGACCCTCTTTTTCGGTCCTCTAAAAGTGTCTTACCTTTTGCCTATAGACTTTCCCCGTAAAGAGCGAGGCGGCTGACCGGCAGACTCGGAAAGTAGCTATCCCATTCTTTGAAATTGCGAAAGGAGCCCCTGTCAAAACGGTCTCATTGAAACCCGTAGGAAATCCCAATGGGAACCCGTAGCAAATTAGTCCAGGCAAACAAGGAAAAGAGCCTGCAAAAATCCCGGGTAGCAATGTTTTCATCGATTTCTATGTAATTTTTGACGCTGAATCCGAATTTCAACTTTGCGCCATTAAATTCGGACCGGAAAGTTGCTAAATTTGGCAAAAATGGCCTAAAATCGGACTTTTTTCCGGATTATGGCCTGTAACTTGCCAAAAATTGATCTGACGATAAAATTAGTTAATTTCAGAAATAAAGCTCGTTAAATTTCCTATAAAAAAGTTCCTAAACACTTTTTTGCTCAATAGTCCAGGCAATAGGGAAGTTCTTGGGGAAAATTTCCCGGAAAATTTTTTGATGAGTGATTCCTATGTATTTTTAGACGCTGAATCCGAATTTCGCATTTGTGTAAAGATCTTTTCGCCGCTAAAGCCGCCATTTTGAAAAAATGACCTAAAAATGGCCTAAAATCCCAATTTTTGAAAATATCTCGCTTATTTTTGATTTTTTGACCAAAGTAGTTATTTTCAAAAATAAACTACATAAAATTCTAAAGAAAACAAGTTCTTATCAATTTTTTGATATGACTGAAATTTAAGCCGCCAGAGCGCGCTGAAAAAACCGCCGAAATTCGAATTTCGCCAAACTTGCGCTTTTCTCGTGAATAACTTTTCTCGGGGTGACTCTACGTGAAAAATCTTAACTATTAAACTTATAGAGCAACAAATGTAATACTAGGAGTTGCTTTTTTTATTTTTTTTAATCCTGGACGCCACTGACAAGTTTTTGAAGTTGGACTGAAAAAAGCTGAACCGAGCATGGACAGGGCTCACCAGTATCTGCGTAATTACTCTTCTGT